GAGAGACTTTTGGCTTTATGCAAGGAAAACAGCAGAAGCAGCAGAAGTCTTTCTTTCTCTCCCCCAAACTCCACCAGAAATGAGTCTTTGCCTGCGCAGCCTCTTGGAGCGGGAGAGGCCTTGCAGGGTCCCAAAGACTCAGTTCTGGCGGAGTTTGGGGGAGAGAAAGAAAGACTTTGGCTGCTTTCCTTGCGTGCAGCCAAAAGCAGAAGAAGAAAGAAGCAGCCCGGTGGCCAGGCCAGGCACATGGGGTGAGTGGGGCAAGTTCCCCCCATCCACCCTTTCCCCCGCTCCCCTCACTACCTCGTGTTGTTCGCAATGCAAGCGGCGCAAGCCTTGTGTTCCCGCGGGCCCTGTGGGTGGCGCAAGCCTTGTGTTCCTGCACAGCCTGGATTAATTGCTTTGTGGGGGACATTTCTCTGGTGTTGAGAAAACACTGCTGAGAAGGCTGGGAAGCTGAAGCGGCTTCTGGGCTGAGGGATTCTGGGAGTTGAAGTCCATGCCTCTTCAGGCCGCCACAGTTGATAAATCCTGGTTTAAGACGGTGTGTCAACTCACCAATCGGAGACAGCCAGGATTAAGCCAAGGTTGTTTAGATTGTGTATAACAGGCAAGACCCAGAGTTGGAAGGGACCTTGTAGGTCATGTAGCCCACCCCCCACCCCCCTGCCCAAGCAGGAGACCCTACACCATTCCTGACAGATGGGAGTCCAGTCTCTTCTTGAAAGCCTCCAGGGATGAAGCTCCCACAACTTCCGAGGGCAACTTCTGTTCCATGAATGGATGGTTCTCCCTGTCAGAAATTCCTCCTTATTTCCAGGTTGAATCTCTCCTTGTTCAGTTTCCATCCATTATTCCTTGTCTGGCCTTGGGCTGCCTTGGAGAATAGCTTGACCCCTTCCTCCTCCTCTCTGGGGCAGCCCCTCAAATATCGTAAGGCTGCTCTCCTGTCTCCCCTGGTCCTTCTCTTCCCTAGACCAGCCAGGCCCAGTTCCTGCAACCGTTAATCGTATGTTTGAGCCTCCAGCCCCCTCATCCTCCTGGTTGCTCTTCTCTGCACTTTTTCTAGAGTCTCAACATCTTTTTTATAGTGTGGTGACCAAAACTGGATGCAGGACTCTAGGTGTGGCCTTACTCAGACTTTACAGAGTGGTATTAGTCCCTCCCTTGATCTTAATTGTATCCCTCTGTTAATGCAACTTAGGATTGCATTGGCTTTTTTGGCTGCTGCTGCACACGGCTGGCTCCTATTTATTTCACTGGCTGCCCACTAAGACTCCGAGATCCCTCTGACAGTTCCCACTGTTGAGCCTGGTTAATTAAGATTGGATTTTCTTTCCCCTTTCTCAGGACTCACGGGGATCTGGTGAGCAGCTTGTACCATCAGATCCTGCTCACCCTCCAGAAGGTGTTGGCTGACCCCGTCCGACCCCTCTGCTCCCACTACGGGGCCGTGGTGGGGCTCCACGCCTTGGGATGGGAGGTAAGCCATGGTTTTGGGGGTGCCTCCCCGGGGGGGCCTTCGGATCTCTTATATGTCAGCGTTCCACTCCAGCGAATAACTCCGAGGCAGACATCGTCTCCAAACTTATTTATTATTTGGGGAGTAAACTGGCACTTCTGGGAAATCCCGAATCTGAAAGTTCCAGGTTTCCTTGCAGTTAAGTAAAAAACAAAACTACAAATCCACCCCTGCACCCCTCAAGGCATCACATGCCCCAATCCCCATCCAGGTGCAGAAATGACGTGACCTTGTTCTGATCCAAACCTGGTTCCAAGGGAGCAAACGGAAGACAAAGGAAGCAGCCCAACCCTTTGCGGCTTCATTTACGAATCTTGTTCCTTCACAGATCAAAGGCTGCTTCCCACTAATTAGCTCCAACAAGAAAGAGCCTTGCCAAGGTGGTGCAAGGCTGCCAAGAACACTAGATAAAGTTACTCAGAAATATTTCAAACACAAAGAGTCTCCAAACACCAACCAAGATATTCCGAACGTCCACCAGGCTTGAGTGCAAAAACGTCTTTGCTTCCTGCAAAGATCTCCAGTTTCTCAGCTGGCTTTTATCTCTTGAGGGAGGGGCCATCACCTTGCAGCCTTACTCCCGAGTCGCCTGTGCTGCTGCAGCTGCTTTTTCCTTGAAGCAGCTGTGCACGCACACACACACACACACGGCACAGGCTCCTCGGGGTGCTCTTCATCACTGCTACCAGCCTCCACAATCTCCAAAGGCAGCACTCCACTCCCTGATGGTCCTGGCCCCATCCCCGCCTCAGACGCAGGCCCCTCATCCGAGTCCTCGCTCTCTGAGACCTCAGCCGTCCGCACCTGCTGCCGGCGAACCACAACAGACCTTATAAATTACAAACCCACCCCCTGCCCTCCTCATCGCATCAAACGCCCCATCCGTCCCAGCTTGAGACGTCCCCTCACCCAGGTGCAGAGATAACATGACCTTGAATTAGAAAAAGGATGCTATTCTGTCTAACCACATGCGCTCCAAGAAATTCCCCCCTCCCATTTTCCCAGGCTCAAGAAGGTGGCAGTGTAGAAGCGTCGGGTGCTAATCTGGCTTCCAAAGCTGACATTATGGGCCTCTCCCACACAGGCTGTGCAGCGAGTCCTGTACCCCCACCTCTCGACGTACTGGTCCAACCTGCAGGTGGTGCTGGACGATTATTCGGTGTCCAACGCTCAGGTCAAGGCTGACGGACACAAGGTCTACGGGGCCATTCTGGTGAGTCTTGTTTTGCAAGGACTGCAACATTTGCTGGTCGTCCTCCACTTACGACCGTTCGGTTAGTGACGGTTACGCGCTCAGATGGGACCTCTCTTTGTCACGGTGGCCACTCCAGCCGGAGGATTTTGTTTTATAAGCAGGCAAGAACGGCACAGTTGCCTCGACTTAATGACCACCACTGCCGTTGTTTAGGGATTCAATTCATAAAGGGAGATACCCCCGATTTTACAACTGGATTTTTTTTTTTTGCTGTGGTCATTATGTCCATCCAACTTTCCCCATGCTTGTCCGGAGCCAGTTGGGAAGGTCACAAACGACAGTCACGTGACCCTGGTGTGGCCACCCAAAGGGGCGTGGCACAAAGGCAACCCAGTCAGATGATCAGTAGGAGTCCCTTTATAGTTCCAACCTTGACCCCAATGTCCTGGTTCCCTTCTGGCTGGAGAAACCCCCCCCCAGGAACAGCCTTTGGCTGCAGAGAATCAAGGCCAAAACGTGAACCATAGGTTTGCTGTCACAGCCAGAGGCTAAACAAATAAGGGGCTGCCTTGAATTCCAACTGGCCCAAACCCCTTTCAGCACAGGGGAGTCAGGATTCCGGCCGTTACCCCCATTTAAATCCTGAGTCTCGAGCCAAACTTCCAAAACTTCCAAAGGATTTATTGGGAGTTAAACTGTCCGGCATTGCCTGGGTGGAGCCGACTGAGACACACAATTCACTGTCACTCTTAACCCTGGTTTTCCCCCCACCCCACCCCCTGGGTGTTATCGTAATTCATATTCTCCAATGGGACACCTCCCTAGCCAAAAGTCATCAATCATGCACTCCAGTTAGAATTTTGCATGGCAGAAACTTCGGTCCCTTAGCAACTATCTTTGAAAACATGTATGGAATGCAGTTTCTGTTTGCAAGCTGCCGCGTTGCTCCCCCGTGCCTTTCTGTTGGCAACTCTAAAAAGACCGTAGAAATATTTGATGAGTTGACAAAACGGTGCATAAAAACCTTGAGAGAACTAGGGGCTTGAGTTGGGAGAGGATTATGGGGTTGAAATGATGCCCGTCCTGGCTCTCCCTTCAGGTGGCTGTTGAGCGGCTTCTCAAGATGAAGGCCCAGTCCCTCTCGGTGCCCGCCCAGGCCGAGGGCGCAGGTTCGGAGGGGCGCCCGCGGGATGGAGTGCCTTGGCTCAGCCCCCTCCAGGACGCCCAGGTGGAGTTTGGCTTCGGTATCGCCAGCCACCTGCTACAGCTGGGCAGCGGGGTGGGCATCCCGCCCAGCCCCCCGGCCGTCTCGCTGAACGAAATTTACCAAGAACTCTACTACTTCTTCGGCGACAGCCTGGCCACCCGCTTCGGCACTGGCGCGGGGCTGTGCCCAGCGGGGCCGATGCCCGCCAGCCCTCCCAAGGCCGCCGACACCAAGAAGGAGCAGCCGGCCTTTGGCGGCGGGGACGCCGTGCGCAAGATGCCCCAGCTGACCGCCAGCGCCACCGTCAGCCCTCGGGAAGAGGAGAGCCCCCGCGTGGACTTTTCAGCCGGCCGGCCGGCCTTGCACCGCTCCGCCAGCCTGGCCCGTTCCCGCAGCGCCCTGCGCCAGCAAGGCCACCGGCCCGTTGCCCGGGACGTCTTCCAGAAGTGCCGTTTCTCCCTGCAGGGGCCGCCCCACTTCAGTTTTGTGATCGCGGGGCGGCAGGTCGACCGCCGTTGCCAGGGCCGCCTCTTCCAGACCTCCTTCTTACAGCACCACGGCCCCACCCACGTCTCGCGCTACGCCCAGAAGCTGCCCATGATCGGCCGGACCAGCAAGCCCACCAAAAAGTGGGGCCAGTCGGATTATTCCCTCTACTTACCTCTCTGAGCAGTGGGCCTTTTTTCCCCCCCCAGAGGGAACACCTGTAAGGACCTGCCCGTCCTTCTCACTCCAGAAAGTAAAGACTGTCGAAAACTGAGCCTTTCCAAAGGAACCTTTTATTGAACCGAAGTGAAAACAGGACAAAGGGAAAGCAGACTCTAAATCCTCTTAGGCCAGGGGTCTCCAACCTTGGCCCCTTTAAGACTTGTGGACTTCAGCAAAGCTGGCTGAGGAACTCTGGGAGTTGAAGTCCACAAGTCTTAAAGGGGCCAAGGTTGGAGACCCCTGGCCTAAGGCAATACAAGTTAGACTTAAAGCAGTAAAATTCCTTCCCGCCAATCCATGGGTGTGAAGATGTTACCATAACTGCCATCCCGAGAACCAGATCCGTAGCCATTCCCACAGGCCATCTTCCTGCTGGCTTTCAAAGTGAAGCAAACCCACGTGGCCCTCCCCCCTTATACGTTCCTCGAAAGGCGAGAAGATTTCAGAGCGCTCAGGTTATAAAATAGCAGTTGTCCAAAGCAATAAGGAAGCATCGGATAAGAGGTGCTGTGGAAGGGACCTGGGAGGTCATCTAGTCCAAACTCCCCCCCCCCAACCAAAGAGCAGGAGATCCTACACCATTTCTGACAGAGGGCAGTCCAGTCTCTTCTTGAAAGCCTCCAGGGATGAAGCTCCCACCACTTCCGAAGGCAACTTCTGTTCCAGGGGTTGATTGCTCTCACTGTCAGGAAATTCCTCCTTATTTCCAGGCTGAATCTCTCCTTGTTCAGTTTCCATCCATTCTTCCTTGTCTGGCCTTCAGGTGCCTTGGAGAATAGCTTGACCCCCTTCCTCCTCCTCTCTGGGGCAGCCCCTCAAATACTGGAAGGCTGCTCTCCTGTCTCCCCTGGTCCTTCTCTTCCCTAGACTATCCAGGCCCGGTTCCATTCGAGGTCCCCACTTCTCCCAATTGAATGCCAGTATCCCTTTAGAAATCTGACAGCATCCAACCAGTTGGGAGTTCCTGGTGCTCCAATGTTAGAACCCCCCCCCCTCCAAACCATCCTGGGGCCACTTCCATCCAGGACCTTTTCCCAATCCTTTGGAAGCTGCCCCCCAGGAATTGCAGCGTGGCGATCTGGGGCTACCCCTTGGAATCACCAAGCCCCTTTCAAAATTCAGAGGAAAGGGAGCGAATGTGTTGTAGGTCCTCTTGAGTTCCCCAGCCATGTGCTGATCCGGCCTTCTCTCAATTTTGCAATAAAATGGAACGATGAGATCGGTACTTAACCCTTCCCCCCCCCCAAAAAAAAACCCTCCCAACTCTGCTTTAACCAGAAGCCCAACCTGAAAAAAAAAAAGGGGGGGGGGGGAGAGAAGGGGAGGCAGGACTTTTGTGGGAGGGGTGGGTCCCTCTTTGAAATTTTATGGGGCAGAAAGAGAGCGAGCAGAAAAAAATGGCTTTGATTTTGTTTGTTTTTTTAAAGGGGCAGAAAATACGTGTGATTTGCGAATGGAAACCTTTTTAGCTAAGGTGAATTGACTTGAAAAACACTTTGGAGATAGATCCAGTTAAAATGGTGGGGGCTGTCTGCTGATTTCCAACCCCCCCCCCAAAAAAATAAACTTAATTCAAAACAGCAGCAGTTTTGCTAGATTTGTTCCTGCTCAGGGATAAAAAAAGATCCTTCCCCGAGTTTATGCTCGGATTTCATTGGAGGTGAACTTTGGAGTCTGGGATAATGAGTCTGAAAATTGTGTGTGTCTTTTTTTTTGGGGGGGGGGGGGTGTGTGCAGGAAGTGGGCCAAGGCCAATCCTTGATCCGTTTGGAAAATACATTAAATGGTGGGAATCCTTTGAGAACGTTTCCCCTTCCAGTCGTAAAACGGAAACGGTTTATTCAAATGAGCGCAGAAGATGGTTTTGCAAAGAAAAGTAAAAAGAAATTGAATTTCCTGTTTTCTAGAAAAGGGCGGGGTGAATTTCTCCTTTTCTGTCCCTCTTGCTGCTAAAACGGACAGGCTTTGCCGACTGGGAATTTAAGGGAGCCCGTGCAAATATATCCCAGACTGCCTGCTAGGCTAAAATGCAGACGGGGTAGCTTGTAGATCTTTCTGTTCTTCAAATAGGGTCCTTTTATCGTTGCAATTTTCACTCCCTTCTCTAGCCCGTCCCTGAGATCTAGTTTGGCATTTCTCAACCTTGGCAAGTTTAAAATGGGGGGGGACTTCAACTCCCAGAATTCCCCAGCCAGCAAAGAAAGTGTGTTCGTTGCACTGATGGTATTACCTCGTTGGGTAATGAAACACTTGCCAGTAAATAGCCACGCTCAGAAAGTATCATAGTCCGCCTCGGCAATCCCTGCTCCTTGGCAGCACTGACAATGTTACCTAGTTGGGTCATGAAACGTTTGCAAGAAAACCACCAAGCCCAGAGAGCACCAAGTAGAGTTCAACCCTGGGCTGGTATAAATCTGGTATAAATTGCAACCTCTTTATTAAATGCCTCACAAAGTGATGTGTTCTCTGGACTAAAACACAAATCGAGAGCCCCCAATACACAAATGGCTGCGGCGGCAGCAGCTGCTGCTTTTATACACATTTGCAAGACTTAAGCCGTAGTCGTTAGCAAGCCATGGGGATTAAAGGTGCAATAAATAAATGAAATAGCTCCAGTCAAGAATGTGGCCCCCCCAGGCAAGGCCTTCACTAGTAAAGTATTAGAGCCCCCCCATCCTTCTGTCCCTAACTAACTAGGTTGGTAAGTCAAACCTTGTAGCTAATTTATCTGCAACAGAAAAAGGGAAGTCAACTCCTGGCCTGGTTATCCAGAAGCCACCTGGGAATTTTAGGGCAAGGACGGTTCAAAGGAAAAACCGGAAGTGAGCAAAATGAAGGTGTTTGGTTTTGTTTTGTTTTTTTTGCAAGAAAATAGGATTTCTGAGGCTAAAAGCAGCTAATACCACTCCTATAGTTGCATGGTCTCACCAGGGTTCCCCACCCACACGCACCTCCACTGCCCCCCTTTGGATAGGCCCAGGGTGTCAAACTAACCTGCTAAACCCTAAGTTGTTCAAGCAAGGTATTTTGTCAAACCCTGGTTTGTTTAGGCAGATTAGTTTGCCAAACCCTGGTTTGTTCAAGCAAGGTAGTTTGACAAATCCTGATTTGTTCAAGGAAAATAGTTTGCCAAATCCTGATTTGTTCAGGCAAGGTAGTTTGCCAAGTCCTGGTTTCTTCAAGCAAGATAGTTTGACAAATCCTGATTTGTTCAGGCAAGGTAGTTTGCCAAGTCCTGGTTTATCCAAGCAAGGTAGTTTGACAAATCCTGATTTGTTCAGGCAAGGTAGTTTGCCAAGTCCTGGTTTATCCAAGCAAGGTAGTTTGCCAAATCCTGGTTTGCCCAAGCAAGGTAGTTTGCCAAATCCTGGTTTATCCAAGCAAGGTAGTTTGCCAAATGCTGGTTTATCCAAGCAAGGTAGTTGCAAAGGAGCTTTTTTTTTTCCCCCCAAGAGGCAGCTGGACTTTGTTCTTTCTTTGAATCCATTTTTGCTTCTTATCCAAGAAGCTTCAGAGCCGAGGAAGCTTCTTGGAGGAGAAAAGAAACGTCTTCCAAGAAAAACCAGAAAGTCCAGTTGCCTCTTGCGGGGGAGGGTGGAGGACAAAAAAAGGCACCTTTGGCCCAACCAGGGCCCGGAGGACGGAGACTCTTTATGACACGTGGGACTCCAACTCCCAGAATTCCCCAGGCAGCAGAGCCTTTAATAGCTGGGGGATTCTGGGCGTTGGAGTCCCCGAGTCTTAAGAGCCGGGCGGCTCCGCCGTCCCCCCCTCACCGCTGCTGCTGACGCGTCGGGCGGGGCGCTTGCCTGGCCCCGCTCCCAGCCCGAAGATGGCGCGCCCGTCCGGCTGGCTGCTCCTGGAGTTGGCGCTCAACGCCGCCGCCCTGCTCGCCGCCCTCGGCTGCGCCGCCGCCCTCGGCCTCGCCCAGGTGAGCCGCCAGGTGGGGGGGGGGGCCTTCGGGGGCCCACCTGCCCCGCCGGTCCGGCTGCTGGACGCCCGGACGGGACGGGACGGGACGGGAGGTGTCCCGTGACCGGGAAGCGGGGGCGGCCGCTCTCTTCCCCCGCCCCAGCGACGGGGCCCGGAGAAGCGGGGCTCCCAAGGGGGCCCCCGCTGGCTGGGCTGAACCTGGGCCCCAACCTGGGCCCCTCTTTAAGACTGGTGGACTTCAACTCCCAGAATCCCTCCAGCCAGCCATGCTCGTGGTCTATTAAAAGCTCTGCTGGCTGGGGGGATTCTGGGAGTTGAAGTCC